AAGAACCATAAACTTTTTAACTATAGTCGAGTGTAATTACAACTTACATTTTTTAATTAGTCCAGTAATCCCAACAAACTATCGTAACTCGACGACTTACGTTGTTTTTTGTTCAAAATTTAATCCATAGTATTTTGAAAATATATACTATATAAAACAGTAATATAAACAGTATAAAATTTTATTTCAGGTGAAAATCCTTAATGTTTGTGAATTTAATGCCCTAATAAAACCTTAAAAACGACCTCAGGACAAACCTACATTAAGACTAACATGAAAACAATTATGCCATTTCCTGTAAATCTTAGGTTATGTCGTATGCAATACTCTGGCAGAAAGCCATCAATATAAATTAATGCAAAAACGCATACCTGACATAATGAAAAGGTTACACAATGCAACCATCGAAAGAAACATCCTGTATTCTTGCTGTACTATTGCACCCTTGTCAAGGATTAATCACGTTTTGAATAAATATTTATTACTAGTTGTTTACTAGGATTTATAGCGACATAATTAAATACTATTTGGGCCATATAGCCCTTAGAATAATTCTCGAAATATGAGCAGTTAAAAGTAGCGCCTTTGGGTTTATATGCCTTTTGCATACTTAAATTTCTGGTGTCGAAGAACATTGTTTGATTTGATAATTTTTTTTCAATATATTTAAAATGTGGGAACTAATAATAAAACATATGTTTCTTAAAACTGGACCGTCTCTTATCTAGAAGAAGAATGTCACTGGCAATTTTATTTATTTATTTTATTATTTATTCATTTATTTTCATCTGACGACATAAATTACGGATATATGAAAGCAAAGAAATTAAAGAGGTCAATATTTGACAGCTACAGCTGTTTAGTCGAATCCGTCTAAATAGAATCCGGTTCGAACTAGCAGAGTTAATATCACTCTATTGTAGTTCTCGCAATGATTTTATGTGTAACATTTTATTCAGCAAGTCTGACCTTGATAGATGTCTTATGCTTTTCTTTCAGCTCGTATCTAATTTTACATATCTACTTCTTCTAATTACTACGTGAAATAAAAATACTGTCCTTGTTTATATAAAAGCGCTTTCGGGAGAAGGTGTATCTATTCTTTCTGCTGCAAAAAGTTTTAACAATTTAGCTGCGTACGTACATACGTACATAATGTCCACACCCACTTTGTGCAGTGCTGGGAAAATTTGAACAATTAACCTTGTATCAGTGGTTCCCTAAACACTGAAACATGATTTTTTACCAGCATAGCAACAAAAATATTCGTTTAGTATGCTTAATTACTCATCAAAATCTCTCGTAAAATTACATTGGTTATTTTGACGTCAAAGCAGATATGTAAAATTACATCATATAAGTAAAGTTACATTAAGCGTGTAATTTTACATTTTTTGTGGAATTCAATAAAATGTAATTTACATTTAAAGAGTAATTTTATTAATAAACAAGAAAACTACATAGTATTTTTAAGCAGCAAAAGAAATTATTTTATAATATTTCTTATATCTTTTCCACATACTCAAATATTTTTCCAATACAAGTTACGACGTAGTTAAATGAAGAGAAAATTATGCGAAATACCCTGTATATTTATGCCCACAAGATAAAGGAACATTCACAAGTTATAAACGTATCAATCGACTACCGTTTTCACCTTTATCAGCCCTTTATGTCCCCTCACGAAAAACCTTAGTCTTACATTTAGAAGTTTAGAAAAATACACTTTCGTCGACGCAATACCATACATTCATAGGTGTTTGTTCGGATAGTGGAAAAATATCTATAATTATTTTATTTTTTTTTTGTAATTCCTGTTTCAATATCAATACAAGTTGAATTTAACCATTAACAATCATCGCCCTAATCTTATCACAGCCTACGAAAGCTTTTTACAAATTTTACAACAAAGCGAAGATTTAAACTGACATGTTCATTATCAAGGTTCGTGTTCGTTACGTAGACGTTTTTCAAGACAAGCAGTAGTATGATTAATTTGAAACAGGGTATTAATTAAGACAATAAACTATAATAACGCTGCGTCTATTTGAAGACAGATATTGCAACTGTTTGCTCTAGGCTTCATGGACTTAATATTGACAAAATGATTTACAATTGTTTTGAGACATATACAGGGACCCGGAAGCGAAGGGGCTTCAAGGGTAGCTTTCTCGGGTGAAAATAAACCGATTTATTGTTAGATTAAGTTGCTCTACTATAATTTTGCTTCCTTAAAAAGTTTTTTACCATAACTCCGTCACTTTTAAATTTGTTTCAATGAAATTTAATGTGGGATAGTTTTTGAGGTAGCCGAATGTAAATATGATCTTACTTTTTACCTAAAACTTGGAGGTAGCTAATATCACTTTAAGAATATTTTTCTTTTTTCGTCATATTTTGTTGTTGGTAAATATTTTTGGAAACACCAACTTACATACTTATTAAAAACAGTGCTTGTTATCATGTCGCTAAAATTAACAATTGAATATTTGGCGATATTGTACTCTAATGGGCTCATTCATAATTTTTTTTTTATTTGCTTAAAGGAAATATATCGATTGCAATTTTAAGTTTCTCTGCAAAAAAATTAGATTTTATATCGCCTACAAGTCATCCAAAAAAAATCATAAACTGGCGCGCCGAGTATCCGCTAAACCGACGGATGTGACGTCACCGCATGGGAAACCGCATGCTTGCGTGTGTTGTCAGTCAGTCGGGTAGTCGGGTTTTAGTTGTCTGTTAAGTTTCGATTGAGAACGTTAAGATACTGAATTTTGTTAGCAATATGGAAGACACAGAACAGAAAAAAATTACATAGGTATAGGTATTGTATTGTTCCCCAGTGTGAGAGCACTACTGTGAAGACACCTAAGAAAATAATAATAATGTCTCCGTAATTCTGTCGTGCGGAACTAAAATCAATCAATTAGTCTCTACTTTGATTTGTTTTTTTATATCTTTTATTTGAAAATGACTTATTTTGAAAGCAACAAAACTACCCCGCGTAATTTAGGTATGTAATAAACACGTTTGTATCCTCTAGAAACACTACATTTGTGTGTATGTGTGTGTTGTGTTCGTGTTTTTCCATTGTTGATTGTTTTGAGTATTATATAAATACCTATAGGTACCAAGTATTTATATAAAAATACATAATAAATATCATATTATTAATATATTTATAAGATATTAGGTAGATTTTATGTAGTTATGGGAATAAAAATGGTAATAAAAATTTTGCATTTGATTAGGTAAATCTTTGAAACCAGTGACAAAAATGGTTTCGTCCAATTAAACGCAATATCCTTATTCTTATTTACTATTCTTATTGTATAAAAACATCAAAACATTCGTACAACAAACGTACTTTATAGAAGCTATACATGTTATTCAAACGTACCTTTGCATTTTCACTCCTCTCATCTCAGCACTGATAAAGTCGTGGTTTTTATTTAAAGAAAAAATCGTAACCTACTTCTGGCGTATTAGAAGATTCTGCTTTTGCTTCCATTTTTTAAATTTAATATGCACAAATTCTAAAACATTCTGCAGATACAATCATCTGGAAGTAGCGTATACCGCGCGCCAAGCTGCCTGTCCCATGCGGTGACGTCATTGCATTGCCATGGCTCAGACAACTATTTGAATTTTAAAAATCACATAGTTTGAAAACCGCTCAACGGATTGAGTTGAAATTTTGAGGATCGCCTAATCATGAGCAATACTTTGTGTATACAAAATAAGAACGTTTTTGAAAATTTACTGAATGACCCCATTAAACTTTACTTCTTTGCTAAATTTGGAATTGAATTAAATATTTTTTATGATTTAGATCAATTCAAAAAAGAAAACTTATCGTCTACAGGGATATACGTTTGTGAATTTAATTTTACGGTACTACAATCAGAAGCCTATGTATCAGTAGATACTTTTTAATAGAAGTACATTGGTTTAAATCATTAAAAGGAATGAATTAAGCTTCCAACGGCCCTAAATACTGAAGCAGTCGGAAAATAAAAATGTCTCCGAAGAATGCAAAATTCGAACTGATTACTTCTGATTGTAAGCTCATCAGCCATTCCAGGGGACTACAATCCAAAGAGAAATTTAGAAAAGTCAATTTCCAAACCCTAGTCCCATCTCTGCGTCCCACCAAGGACTGTGATTGAACGCCCCTGATGGTTACAGTTTAGTAACAAGGTCCGGAACCTGACCTGTGCGTGTAGTACGACACAAAATTTAAGGTTGCATTATGTAAAGCTCTATACAAATCTAATACTTTTATTGTAAATCAATATTTTTCCATAAATTCATGTTTTTAATATTCCACAACATTCAAAATTTTTACAATTTCTTCCTCACATGAGGCCTGTACAAGCTCTCAAAGGCTTCCATTTTTTCAGGCACTCACAGAAGACCACAAAGCCTAAAACATATTTAATGTAACTAGACTCTGCAGAAAGCTTGCAAATCCTTACCACGCCAGAGCGAGAAAGGCAAAAATAAATAAGATCATCGACCATATTTCCAAGAACCTACTTCGCCTGCGATGGAGACACGTTCGGACACACTGTATATTTCATGATCATAACTTAAATTGATAAAAAAAAATTAAAGCAAGAAACTCGATTCCAATTTGTCAAATATAATAATTATTCAGAGATTAACTTATATTATTGTAGTAAGATTATTTTTTTTACGAATAAAAGATGTCGTAAGCCAAGAAAACGAACATATTTTTATTTAAATAATATAAATACGTGCTCTAACAACAGTTGCTTTGTAAAAAACAGTTAAGCTTTATTAACTTCGTTCTGACATTTCTATGTTTCTTGATATATTATAGCATATTTATTTTGACAATAGTGGGTTTGAATACGTGCTCTATACAATGCCGTTTAAACAAACTTTTGTTGCTTCGCAAATTTAGATAGTTAATCCATCACAATTCACTGATGAGTATCAGAAAAGGTTATTATATTTAATGCCCGATCTATTAATAGAGGATACTACTTGCTGCCAATTGTCCGCCGACTTGCCATTGCGTGGTGTCGCCAAGGCACTGCTTAACATCACTTATTAAAAAAAGTCCCAAAATGACTGTGGAAAGTGTCGGAGCCCTCGTCAAAAGGACTTTGCCTCAGATAGTGGCAGTTCTGGCAGGTGAGTGATTTAAGAATTTCATTTTTACGGTTTTTTTTTCTAAAGTTAGAACATTTATAAACGTATATTGTCGTACAACTCCTAACTTTTTAATCAAAATGCCCAAAGAATAAAAGATGAATATATTATGTAATTTCATTTATAGATTTAATTTCAATTAAGTAATAATTATTTTACTAGTATGAATAATACACCGGATGAAACAGATATTTGTCTTGACAAGAATCCGATAGAACAAAAGAACATAAATTGACTTTATTATGACTGAATGGCTCGTAAAAAACGCCGCAAGCTACTACTACAAAGTGGTACCTACTCATTACTATATTTTTCAAGGCCTTGAAAAGTTTTTTTTATGGAACAATTTATGTGGCTTGGTTTGTAGGTTTCCACGACAGTTGCAGGTGTTTGAACAATTTCCGGGCCAGTTATCACGTCGTCCGTTTAGGCTGCCTAACGTTTCGAGACGTGTGGCTCTCTTCTTCAAAAGAAATTCTGAATCTAAAGAAGAGAGCGAGATGGCTGTCGAAACGTTAAGAAAACTGTACCAACAGCATGGTAACCAGATCGGAAATGGAATAATGTATATATTTTCCTGAATCCAACTGTATGTAGGTATACAGGGTCTTCACGGTAATAGATCTATTCGAGAAACCAAAGATAATATGTCTGAAATTTTGTATACGGAGGTTATCAGATATGTTCTCTTCGATGAACATAATGCCATCAACGTAGCACTTCTAGTTATACCGGAAGTAGCCATTTACTTGTTTATTTTAAATGGAACACCCTATATATCAATTATTGCATTATCGATAAATATTAAAAATCAGTCAAAAATATTAAAGCTTCCCTGTACTTAAATCTAACTGTTTTCGAGGTAATCGACATATCATAAAAAAAATTGACAGGCGTTTTGAAAATTCCTATCTTTGTTCGTCCTGGAAGCTTACACTTGCTTTTTGGAACGTGTGCATCTTATGTTCTTTGTGTAAAGAACAGAAGATGCACTACCTTCTGCTATCAAAATCATCTGAAGAAAATTATACCAAGTGAACTATTTTTTACGTTACATTTTGAAAACATAAATCCGACAAAACTCTTTAAAATCAAATGAAACACCCTGTAATTTTGTACCATATTACAGAAAATCAAATTCTCTTTTCACCGATATGTATATTGTAGTGGTTACAGTTTCGATTTTCTCAGATATTTGATCTTTTCTTCCATTCTCAAGAATATTTCTTTAAAAATATCATCAAATATGCCTTAAACGACAAATATTGGCATTGTCAGTATTCTTCAAGTATCAAGTATTTGCTCGACAAGAAAAAAGCAAAATAATTATTCTAAAGAAGATATTTTGAATTTATTTTATATCAATGCGACATTCACCATGAATCAGAATTATTAGCTGCATTTCTATGAATTGGTGTTTTGCAACATTTGAGGAATTGAACTCGAATGAAATAGGCGAGCTATATACAATATCGTTCTCTGTAGAACATTGAAATACATTTGTTTTCATAATTATATTAATAAAATGCGTGTTTTCTCGTTTGTTGCGTTTTAAATAATGAGGGAATATATTTACAAAAACTAGTAAGATGTTCTGCCAATGGGATACTATTATTAGCAACTGCAACTACAATAAAATGGGTACATTAAGAACACAATGATATGTAAAATAACCACAATTTTAATTTGTATTCTTTCTCCAGTCGGCTTCTTTCCAAACATCATAAAATTTTCTAATAATGCACTTATTAGTTATTTTAAATTATTTATGTTTGTTATTCTTTAAAAATTGTTACAACATTAAAAATTAGAGGAAAAATCTAAGGCAACCAACCGAAATCATTTTATTAATTATTTCGTTTTACTTGCAAAATCCCAAATCATACAAATACAGTTAATAATTCTAATTCATGGGTATAAAATAAATTCAAAATACTTCATACTTGTAAAATCTGAATGACAGTACATACCAATATTTGGCTTTCAAGGCACATTTGATGATATTTTTATTGTAATATTTTTGGGAATAAAAGAAAACTGCAAATATCTGAGGAAATCGAAATAGTAACCCCTTCAATGGCTATATCGATGAAAAGAGAATTAGATTTTCTACTATATGGTATGGTAAATGCGTGGTATTCCATTTGAATTTAAAAAGTTTTATCGGTTTGAAGTTTTCAGTACTTAGTATAATTTTTTTCAGGTAATTTTGATAGTGGAAGTTAGTGCATCTTATGTTCTTTGTGTGTACCGAAAAGCAAGTGAAAGCTTCCAGGACGAAGGAATATATAAGGAATATTCGAAACGCCTGAAAATTTTTATAGAATGTCGATTATCTCGAAAAATGTTAGATTTAGGTACAGGGAAACTTTAACATTTTTGACTTATATTCAATTTATCTTGTCGATAATGCAATTATATATAGGGAGTTCCATTTAAAAGTACGAAGTTGACAGCTTCTTCCGGTATAACCAAAAGTGCTAGGTTGATGGCATTATTTTCATTGGAGAAAGCATATCTAATAACCCCCGTATACAAAAGTTCAGGGTCATATTATCTTTGGTTTCTCTGAAACGTTGAATAGGCGACTTACTGTGAAGAACCCTGTATAGCAACATAAAACAAATATCTACTTTCTATACTCTCTGCACCCTGCAAGTCAAGTAAAAAGCCAGATGTGTACAAAGGCCTGTTGAGGCAACATGTCTCAATATTTTGTTAAAACTAACGTTGTATAATAGGTAATTTAATTTTTCGATGCACTGACATGGATGAGTTTTTTATTAATTTCGTAATATAAAATTTAATATAAAATTAAATGTAGATACGTCTGTAAATGGTGTTTCCACCTTGAATGATATTTATCTCCAAGTGTGTTGTTCTTTTTTATTGTTTTCATGACACACTTGACAAATTTGGCGGAACTGTAAAATATTATAAAATATAATATTTTGTCTACTTTTGGACTAGACTGGACTGAAAATTGAACTAAATATTACAGCTTGCAGCGTTTTTCATGAAATCCGGTAAATATACCTACCTAGTAGGGTTTCTGATTTCTCGGCCTACTTTTTTTCTCGGGTCTCGAGAATTCTCGACTAAGAATTTCCGAGAATTCTCGAATTCTCGAGAAATTTCTAAAACTTTAAAAAGTCATAATTTTGGTATTGCAATGCGAAATATAAACATGCTATTATACTTAACAATCATCATTAACATTTATTATTTATTCAGTATTTTTATTAATTACTTATGTTTCTACTTCTACTAACAAAACTAAATTAAACTTTGAGTTTTTTCTTAAAAACCTTTAACTTGTTTTTTTATTAAACACTTTCAATATACTTATGTTTATTTCAATGTTTTTGAATCGTAGCTTTCTTCCAATAATAATTATTAATAATCATTAATCATGCAGTATTTTAATTAAATAAATAGTAAATAAGGAATTTAACCGAAGAAATCTTAAAAAAAGCTTTAATTTAAAGATACAGAAGCGTTCTTCCTATTAATTTATCACTTATAATCACAATCTTTTAATTAACAAAACAAAAATAAATTAATCAACTAAAGGAACAGGAACTAAATATTTTCACAATCAACATCAACATTAGGTATCTGCTTATAATAAAATTTCTACACAGACTTATAACTAGGTACATTAAAAAAATAAGAATAATCAAAGTAAACTAAAGCCTTAAAAACTTAAAATAAATAAATCATGAGCTGATAGAGAAACCACTTTAACCGCTCAGTAATTTGTCAAGAAACGAATTGAACGCATGAACGAAACGAACTCCAGTCAAGAACTTAAGACGCGCGTGATTTTTAAATTTCTCGATTTCTCGACACTTTTTTCTCGTCTCAAGTAAGGCCAGATTTCCCGGGAATTTTCGCTTCGAGAAGTCTCGACCAGAAACCCTACTACCTAGTGAAAAACCCGGGTTGTATCAAATAACAATTTTTTTCTTTAAAAGCAGCTTAAGCTCAAGACTTAGTTGGCGTGCATCTTTATTTGTCTGGGTGTAACGTATATTGGAATATGTAAGAAAATGAACACAGGGTGTTTTTCTTTTAATCTTCAATCCTTTGAACACCCCATAACTTTTTTATGCTTAAACCACTAACTGTCAACTTAACATTTTCTTTTGAAAAATTTATTTTAAAAAACTTCTTATGAAATTTTGATATCTACTATGTACTTTAAGTAAAATATCCGGCCTTAAGGTGGCCATATCCCTGGCTGAGAAATAGTCAAATTTCTGGCATTTTTAGGTACTGAAATCTTGAAAAGTAAAACGTACAGAACAAAAGTAAGCACAAAAATAAAATCCTTGATGTTCTGTTTATTCATTGTTACTGTTTAAATTTACTCAAATAAAATAGTAACTAAAAAAAAATGAGTTTGTAAAACATGCGTTTGCTGTTATCCTAAGCCCACATTTTAAGAATTATTTTCACGTACTTATAAATAGAAGTAAACAATTTTATATGTAGGACTAAGAAAGTGAATGTTATAAGAATATTTACATGTGGAGTTGTATATACAAAAGTTAGTATTTTCGTAGATTTCAGTACCTAAAACTTTGATGGTTTGATCGTTTTTTGCACCGTTTATTCGTTTTACTGCGGCGTCTTTGAAAATATCCAGATGGCATGACATAACATTCCTATTATTTGATAAGCTTTAGATTATTCAGTTATTAATTGTTTGAAATTAGTTGTCTTTGTGGAAAACACTATTTAAAGAATATGGCGCCCTTAAGTGCACAAGTGGTTTTTGGAAATTGTATTCTATTTGAATGCGCCATTCTTATAATAAATACTCCTAGAAATATAAAATAAAACTCATCTTTTGGGTAATTTTTAAAAAACCATATTTTAAAAATCGTTTGAGCAACTAGGTTCATATAAATATTGGTTGCAGAATATATTGTTTTCTTTTTTGTAAACTTTCACTGAACGAAACATATCCAAATATTTCATGTACCTCACCTTGTTTCCAAACACGTGTATAATGGCAGTTTTTAAATTTGAATTGTTAATATTTATTCGGAAATGTTTATCAACTAAATTGATCTCTGACAATAAACTTGTAAGGACATTATAAAAATCCCCCTTTCTTGATGAATATTATAGGAAACGACCGCGCTGACTTGACGCTAAATCATAATTTTTGCAAGCGCCTGCTAATCAACGATAACAAAATAAAAGGTTTTCAATTTCAATTAATGGTGGTAAAACATGCCGGAACACTTTGGCACTAGTTAGTTTTAAGACAGAATTATGACCGCGCGGAACAGTGTAGAGGATGTAGAGGTGCCTTTTACTTTTAGGGGTGTTCTAACCCAGGTAGTTTCAGTAGTTGCCGGTAAGGTTTATTTTATTTATCGAGTATGTGTTTTATATAATTATTAAAAAAAAAACGAATAATAGTTTATACTGGTCAGAAAAACTTATTAAGTTGACTTTTGAAGTTTAATAATTGTAACTCGTTAACTTAAAATTTTCGTACCCTATTAAATGCGTCATAAGGGAACTACAGTCACTCGTAAAGTAAATTAAAAAGTTCATCAGAGCTTTTAACAAAATGTTGCTTTGATGGAAAAACAATTACACTACAATTTTTTGATAATAATAATTTATACAGGGTGGCATAAAAGTAAGGGAACCCCAAAAAATCTCGCGAGATATGCATTTTCCGGAAAAACCAAATATAGGGAAAATTAGTATTTTTCCCCGGTTATTCAATGGTGGCCATGCTATCACCACTGACCACGTGGTTATTATGGGGTCAAGATGATTTTTTTAAATGGGAACCCCCCTTTACGTTCAGATATAACCTTGACCATTTCAAAAATTTCAAAATGGCGGCGAAATTAAGATGACGGATAGAATTTTTGAAAGTTAACCTATTCACACATAAAAATAATTGTTTAATTCAATGCAGTAAAATTTAAACTAAACAAATAATATCTTCCCATATCCGCAATGCAAACATGTATTTGAACAAAGAATATTATTTCTTTAAAATATTTATTTCAATTAAATAATAAACGCTTCACATGAAAAATATTTATGTATTGAAATAATGTAGTACATATTGTTGACTCAAATTTTTCATTGGTTTAGAGAAAACATTTGTAATTTTATTTTAAAAATACTATAAAATTAATATAACATTACATTTGTTCTAACAAAACAAAATATATGTTTGAAAGAAAATTATTGTTTTTTAAATATAAATAAATGGTTTTATTTGATATGAGACTATAACTTTCCTGAATTAAATAAAATAGTTCTTTGGAATAAAAATTTGGAACTTTTTTAGGAAAGATAGGGTAAGGTTAAAATAAATGTATGAGTATGTTTGGATAGAATGTATTTTTTCTTAAATAAACGTATACACAAAACATTACAAATATAAGAAATAATTTTAAGAATTAATGTTCCTTAGCTGTTTATGTATAAAATAACATTCACAAAAATATAAATAATTTTTCCGAGACAGTGTGAAATACGGTAGGTTTAACTGTTCCTAAAGTTTTAATGTCTACCGTTACAAAATTTTCAGAGATCTTCACAGAATAAGCACTATGATGCAAATCATAATTTAAGGTAATTAATAAATAGAAATGAAAACAAATTATTGTATTGTTGTCTTCATTAATAATGATGTTTTCTATTATACCGAAAGAAGGATTAGGATACCTAATAAAACACAAGACTTGATTTTGTAAAAAATACCATTAATTTTTAACCATGGCACGCAAAAACTTGAAGATGAAATTTCTGAATTAGATGGAAGGATAACGTCTCCTTTTATTAAATTTTGAATTGGTCCATGTTCAAACGTGTCTATTAGTCCTTTTGTGATAAAATTCTATACGATAATTTAAGCTGCGTCCGCACACAAAGTGAAAAATGTACATTTTTTCTACATGTAATAAGGGTAGCTAAATATTTTAAATCTTTATGTTTTACGTCGTATCTAATGGAGATAACATGTATTACAGGTCCAGGTTTCTTTATTATATTTGGGTAGTGAAGCAAAAAATTAAATTTAGGCTTTAAATTTTCTTTAAATAGTTTTAAACACATTAGGTGATGGTCTTCAATAAGACATTTTAAAAAATCATTGGATTCATCATTAAAGATAGACAAAAATAACATTTCGATTATTTCTAATAAAATTAAGTATATAGTAACCATGTTTTATCATTTTCTGGGAAAAGCATGAAGATGACAGTAATATAACCGTTTCTAATTTGTTCATGCATACTTAATGTTTGGAGGAATGTTTTTATTTATACATATAAGAGTTATACTTAATTCGAGCATTTAGTAATGTAGCTTAATGTAAAATATTTATTAGTTAATAAATTGTTAATAATTTTCGCCATTTCATAACGATGGATTCCTTCGAAAAGGTTATGCATTAAATCACAACTAATATTTTTATATATGTGAAAGTCATCCAGTTCAATGAAAATGCAATTTTCCTTAACACCATAATCAGAAGCAGTTAAATGTTCTAAGTAGTCTTGTTCTTGTCTAAGACTACATTACACACTCCTACGATGTACTACACAGTACAGTACACCACAGACTATACACCATACACACTCACACTACACTGCAAGTTATAAAACACATACGAGACGAGTAACTGCATGTGGTAGAAGTTAAAAGTCTAAATGCCTTTGGCTGTCGCTGAAAGTTAATCCACGCTTTTCGCCGTAGTTTTAAAAATATGATAGTTTTGAATTGAAACAATATACTAAAATCAACTATACCACATCTTTAAATGCAGTTTATCTGAAAATTTAACGATATGATAGTTTTATGTCAATAAATACTATTATTCCTTTGATAAAATAAGTGTTTTAATTTGGACTTATGATTTATTTGTTTTAAATAAGTTCATTTAAATTAAAATAACCAAAATGTTGATGCAACCTTAAATCATGATTGTTTTAAAGAAATTGATTTGTTTTTACATTATAATTTACTATGTTTTAATACATTATATTATATGTTTAAATTTAGGATGTATCTTTGATTCTAATACATTTTCTAAACATAAAATAAAATTGTTCCAAATACATGAGTAATACTGAAATAAAGATATATGATCAAATTAAATAAATATTTCTTCATAAGAAACAATTGCTTTTAAAGAAATTTGTAGTTTATTATTAAAGATACCTTTTTAGGTGTGTTGTTACCAAATTTTGTATACGGATGTTTTCGAAGTCGTTGATCACAAATTCGAGGTCGGATTTAAAAAATCAAGATGGCAGATCCAATATGGCGGACGAGTTTTTCGAAAATCAGCCGATTTGCACCAAACGTTGTATACGGAGGTTTTTAGGATTGCTGATCACGAATCCGATGTCAAATTTGCAAAATTCAAGATGACGGATTCAAGATGGCTTCCGATTTTTTTTTGAAAATCAGTCGATTTGCATCAAAGATGGTATACGACCGTTTTTGGGTTTACTGATCACGAATATAGGGTCAGTAACCTCCAAAACCCCCGTATATCAAATTTGGTCCCCATTGATTAATTTTAAAAAACCCCATCCACCATCTTGGATCCGCCATCTTGAAATTTGAAAATCTCTTATTCGTGATCAGCGACCTCGAAAATCTCTGTATACAAAATTTGGTGATAATTTCATCCGCCATCTTGATTTCACCGTCATTTTGAAATTTTTGAAATGGTCAAGGTCATATCTGAACGTAAAATTTTCCGCTCTTTCCATTTCCGGGGTCAAGGAGGGTTCCCATTTAAAAAAATGGTCTTGACCCCATAATGACCACGTGATCAGCGGTCAGTGGTCATGGCATGATCGTCATTGAATAGCCACGGAAAAATCCTAAATTTGCCTATATTTGATTTTTCCGGAAAATGCATATCTCGCGAGATTTTTTGGGGTTCCTATACTTTTATGCCACCCTGTATAAAAAAATATGATATGATTTATATAATTTGTTTTTGGTATGGTATAATTGTATGGTATTTAACTAGTATAATTTTGTTTAATGGAAAATGGTTCTAAATGATTGTTTGTTCTGTAAATGGTTATACTGTTGGACAAATAAAGTGTTATTATTATTATTATTAATAAATATATTCACTTTCTGTTTTGCTACAGACTACACATACTTACATTAAATAAATACAAATAAATTCTCAAAAGTTCATAGATTTTCTAAGACAATTTTTGTATATTGTAAATTATTTAGAAGTAGTCTTTGGGTGCTAAAAAAATATGGACCAACTAATATTACACATTTTACAAGACATTTTTTTGTGTATCTTACGTAAAATTCGATGATATTGAAATAAAATTAATATACACAATTAATATACACATAACTTACAGAGAGCAAGTTAAACCTTTTCTTGCTCTTTTCATATTATATTTTTAAAGGGGATTGTAAGCAGATAAAACTAAAACAACAAGCGTTGTCAATATTTAATGTTTACAAGTTACATCTTTTATTTTAGATGAATTCATAAGACAAGGTAACCATTTGTCTGTGAGGTCACCCACAATGTGACATTTTAGGTATCTGACGTAGTATATGGATTATAATTTCATCGCAGTAACAAATAAAACTTGATTTTGGGTATTTCATTCGATTATAAACATGCATTGCTTTAAAACAGATCTTTTTGTAAATCTTGCTTAAAATATTCTGTGTCCATCTTTATGATTGTTTACTTATAATGAAAAAAATGTGTATAAATACTAAGTAAAACCTATTGATAATCCCAATCACGTTTTTTTTTTCTAGGAACATTGGCGGCAATCAGTGATGGCATGCAATACGGTTGGACCGCCCCAGTCATACCCATCCTCCTGGGTCCAAATAGTCCGGTTGAAGTAACACCAGCTCAAACAGAATGGCTAGAAACCCTGCTGATGTTAGGTTCCTTCTCCGGATTAAGCCTAACCATCTTCTTCGTAGACCGAATCGGAAGAAAGCGATCCCTACTACTCTCTTCATTCGTTACTCTCCTTGTTTGGTTAGTAACAGCCTTGGCACCAAGAGTGGAATACATATTCGCTGCCAGAGCCTTTTCTGGCGCGGCTGGTAATATGGCTTTCGTCGCTGCTCCGATGTACGTAGCAGAGATAGCCGATCAGAAGATCAGAGGATTCCTTTCCAGCATAATCTACTTAATGATGCTGATCGGAGTGTTGATAATCTATTCTGTCGCCCCATTCGTGCCATTCTACGCTCACTGCGTAATTGGCGGAGCCTTGGTGTCCATAGAGCTGATAGTGTTCCCCTTCATGCCAGAATCTCCGTATTATTTGCTGTACAAGAACAAACCGGAGGAAGCTAGGAAATCTCTGCAGTGGTTTAGGCCAAACCAGAACGTAGAGAAAGAATTGGAAGATATCAAGGCAGCTGTGCAGAGACAGGTCACTGAAAGAGGGAAACCGCAAGACCTTATTATGGTTCCCAGTAATCGCAGGGCCATCTTGATCATGGCCATCTTGAACTGGGCGCAACATTTTAGTAGCATCAGCGTCCTTTTCATGAACATGCACGTCATACTCGAGGCTGCGGGTTCCATATACATGGCCAATTCCATCGCGGCTATTTTATTTGCCGTTATTATGCTCGTAGCTGCAAGCATTGCTTCAATATGCATAGACAAGTTTGGAAGGAGGACTTTATTGATTCTTTCTAGCATACTTACAGGATTATGTCTGTTAGTTATAGCAATATACTTCACCTTGAAAAACATGGAATATAATGTAGCTGCCATCAGTTGGATACCAATAGTGTCAGTAATGTTGTACGCTTGTGTGTTCAAGTTGGGATTAGGTATGGTGCCTATAGTTTTAACAGCCGAACTGTTCCCAGCCAAGATGAAGGCCATGGGGATGACTATAGCTGATGGCATGTACGTCACTTCCTCTCTTCTTTCTTTGTTAATTTATCAAAAGCTGAAAGACAGTTATGGCATGGAGTATCCATTCTACATATTCTCTATATCTTGTTTCTTCGCGGCATTATTCACAGCTTTATTCATTCCGGAAACTAAGGGTAAAACCTTGGAGGAAATCCAGTTTATACTCAAAGGGCAAAAAGCGCCGCGAAAATCTGTAGATTCAGCATAGATTTGTAAATGTATGACAATGTGTGCAACTAATAGTGATCTAAACTTGCAGTATCCATGTTTCCATTTTGTTAAAAAATTATTTTTTTACTATGTACATATATTGTTTTATTTTTAGAGATGCTTTAGGGTAGTGCGATATATTGGTTATCATTTATATACATACTTTAAAGAACAGTAACTCTAATTCAGCAACTGCTGTGTGCGTAAAATTGCAGTATATTTAGTTATAATATTTAACGTATTAATCTCTTTATACTACTTGTGGAGTTTAGAGAAAATCTCAAATATTGAATGTAATTTCAATGATTATAGAAAACAACCCTGAATCATAAAAAATTTATTTAATTATTTTTTAAATCAACTAGATTTCTACAGATGTGGTAGACAAGGGATATATTTTTAAATATTTTTTAATGTTAAACTACTAATGAGTAAATAACAATTTTTGGGAAATTTAATTCTGATAAACAGAGCAATGAAGTAGAGGGGGAATTGGTTTTGAAGGATTTCCTCCCATTTTGAAGAAACACAATCTTATGTATTGAATCCTCTCAATATGCCGATATTGTCAGTTTTTCTCTAATTGTAACATAGTTGGATAGGAAACGAAGAACGAAATTCAAAAAATAAAAAATTTTCCGCCATAATTGTAAAGAGGTTACACAGAGCCTTGATAAATGTTTACAAGCCACGTAATCGCCGAGCTCAGGCAACCAACATTACAAGGCTGGTACTGGTAACGAAAATTCCGTAAATCTTGGCGTCACCAATATTAATGATTCATTTACAAGGAACAATAACAAATCGTTACGTCTACACGTGTAAAATTACACCAATCACACCAATGCCATGCTTTAATGTAGGTAATCTTGATCCTATTATTTTAATATGTAATTTTTAATTTTACCGAAATTTAATTGACAACCTGAAATGAAGATCAGGGAGAACCACAGAGCCTAGACCGAGAACAACAAGAAGAGGTCAAAGATTCCTAGCTGAGGCTAAGGAAATGAAAGGTAATGGTAACTGGCAACTTCCTTTCCATTTCCAAATTTGTTTTGTTCGACAATACTGTTTTTGCAGAAATATAATTTTTATTATGCAAGGTGTTTGTAAATAAGTGCGAAACACTTTAGGGGGTGGTTGTCGAAGTTAGTTTGTGAAAAAAAAAAGTTCATATAAACGTATGTCGAAATAGCTTCGATTCCGAGATACAAAATCTTTAAATTTTAAGTTTTTATTTATTTTTATTAATTATTTCAAAGTTTTAAAGATATTGACTCGAAATTTGAAAAACGCTTGGGAGGGATAAATGTACATTATTTGGGGTGATCCGAATATTTCTACTTGTACCAGTGGCGTTCGTGCGAGAATGACACAACTTTTTTAATAAAAGAAATGGTACGCCACTGACTTTTTCCTGATTTCAGGGATCATTTTTTTTAGGAATCCACCATCAATTCTGAATGAAATTGGTCTCTTCAATTTTTTTCGTAGGAAGCGCCGTTTTTGAGGAAAAAAATAAAACATATTTTATTGCAAGTTGTATGTAATTTTAATTTCTATTGATATATTATCTAGTAGATCGCTGTCAATATTTCTAAATAAAATACGACCATCAAATTTCAAGTAATATCTTTAAAACTCTTTGAAATAATTAATAAATTAACACTGTATCTCGGAAACGAAGTATATTTCGACCCAAAATAAATAAACATTTTCTCATAAAATAACGTCGGCAACCGCCCCCTTAAAATATTTCGCACTTATTTACAAACACCCTGTATATTATACTTAAATATGTTTTAATACACAGGAATTTTTTAAAACAGTTTATTGAAAAAAACAGAACTAAGCTTTCTGGGGTCAAAAAGAGCTTACGGTTTCTCTTTTGTTTTCAGTCTCAGAAGTATTATACAGAATGTTTCAATAAGGTGTTGCCAAACTTGAGGGGGTTTAAGTAATTTTTATTAAGGATAACGCAAAAAATGTTTCGAAACTAAATAAACACGTTTATCTCTTTTAATAAGTGTTTATCAACTGCATGTTTTACAGACGATGTTGGTAAAAATTGATTTTATCCACATCTGTGTGATAAAAGCTCTATTGCACGCATCTAATTTAGCCATGCAATGTCATCTGTGTCACGCTGCGAGGAATAGTGAAACAAATGAACAGAGTTGTCACGTAATAAATGCTCGGACATAATTGAGTGTTTCACATTTGTTTTGTTTGCGACGAAATTTTGCATCTAAGTTGTTGAAATGAACCAATTTGTTTTGGTCGAAGAGTATGCATCTTATTTATGGCAAAGCAAGATGCAGCGCTAGTGAAGCTGAGCGCTTTCTGAATCGCCGACATCCTTGCCCAACAAGAGAAAAAGGCAACTTTAAACCAGATATAGGAAGTTGACATCCACGAACTTCATGGACAATGGTCAATGAGGAAGAGGTTTTGCGTCGAACTGAAGAACAACGTACCACAAGCCGTTTTAAACAATTATTATAAATTTATTATTTTTGCGTTATCCTTAATAAAAAATATTTAAATATCGAACACCTTTGGGGTCAACGTAATAAATAACGTTACGTTTTTGGACAAAAATTGCTCCAGGGCAAAAACTGTTCATTTTACAGTTTATATACAAAAATTTTCTTCCGCAATGTCCTCTATAACTCCCTCAAGTTTGGCAACACTTTTTTTAAACACCCTGTACATTGCCTTAAAGTTATTCCTAGAGATGTAAACAAGCATCTATGTCTCATTTCACCGTATATACTCCATTCAGTTCGATATGACATCGACACTAGTAAGAAAGAATAGTATTCTATGGATGAAGACAAAAAGACTATTGTTATATCAAAGTGAATAAGCAAAAACAATGAAAGCTTAAGGTTTTTACCGTTTTCATAACACAGGCATAATTTTAAGTCAATAGCTTTGGGAACATCATTGAATGATATACAGAAATACAAGGAGATAAATATTATACGGGGTAGGACAAGTGCCAGTTCTCAATTTAAATTGTATATAAATAAAAATCTGAATATATTTTTTGGCTTATTTTTATTAAGATCTGTAACTTTTTTTTATATTACTTATATGAAAATATCAGCCAGATAAGTTGCTCTAGCATTGTTACAAAGTTGTGCTTGTTTCTCAGCCACTGACTTCAAACCGTGCCTATAATTGCTATGGACCAGTACCGGAGCAAGTATAAATACAGTTTAAATGATTTAGTATTTAGCTCCAATGTTTCTTCTAATTTGCATGTACAAGTGTGTATTTTAATTTAATTTAATTTATTGTAATAGCCATCCAGATGTAGTAATGTACTTAATTAACGTATTATTAAATAAATGAAATGAAATGTTTCTTCTAAATAAAAAGGCGATATATTTCTAGAAACGTCAAAAAGTCTAGATCAACGTCTTGGCAATCAGCTCAGTGATATTAATCAGCCATGCACATATGCTGTTTTCGAGTAACATTACAAGAAAAAACTCTAAAGCTGTGTAAGCTGGATATAATTTTCAAATTAATAATGTAAAAAAGTTAAGTAACAATAAAACGTATACAGGGTGGACCAACTTTTTGTGACAAACTTTAAGGGTATGTTCTACGTCCAAAAATAACCGTAGTTTGCTATACAAACAATAGTCCAAAATTGCTTCGTTACGAAAATACAGGGTGTTGAAGTTTATTCTGAAAAATAGAAAAATACATTTTTTTTAAACCGCTTAAGATAATTAAATGAAATTTGACAGGTGTCAATAGCAATGGAAGACTTAAATTTTGCAATGCAAAAGTTTCTTTTACTGTCACCAGTGGCGCGAGTAGCGGATCGTTAGTGACTATTTTCCAATAAAAAAATGGTACGTCCCTGGTTTTTCTAAAAATTAATGTTATTTTTGAATTCCTCGTTCAATTTGGTAGAAAAAAACTCTCTTGACTTTTTTTTGTACGATGCACCGTTTAATAAATAATAAATTACTTTAAAACTTTTCAAAGTGTTTTCCTTCAAATGGATTATTATTTGTTAGCTGCATACCAGATACACTTGCTGCAACCACCAGATAAACAAATTTACAACGACTAGTTGGCGTCGGTTTTCATGTCAACGTTTGACAAATCTTAAATAGACTTGTCTTCTGTGCAGTAGTATCAAAATGCCGTTTAGATTTTCACCGTGTATTAACAACTTTATTTTCACAATGAATACCAAAAACTAAACTAATTAAAATTATCAACAAAAACAGTCATAAAAATTGTTCAAAATGGGAACCATTATTTTCAATGCACAACTCGCACCTACGTACAATACATCTATTTAAATTAATTAGATGCGGTATTATTGCATTACAACCATTTCTTATACGAGTAATAAGTTCATCTTGTGTGTTCACGGGGGTTGCATAAACTTTCTCTTTTAAAAAACCCCACACAAAGAAGTCTAACACGGTAATATCCGGAGACCGTGGTGGCCATGGAACTGGACCCCCTCTGCCAATCCATCTGTCCGGAAAGTTATTATTTAGCCAATTTCTAACATTTCTGCCAAAATGAGCGGGACAACCGTCGAGCTGAAAAAATGAAGTCTGTCTTAAAATTATCGGTATTTCATCCCACATATTGTGATGTTCCGTTTCTAAAAACTGTAAGAAGTTTTCTGCGTTTAAGCGTCGAGGTAAAAAATAGGGTCCAAACAGATTGTTGTTGTAAATCCCTATCCAAACATTTACGCTGAATTCAACTTGAAAATTTCGTGGTCTAATGGCGTGAGGATTTTCATGTGACCACACATGTTGATTATGGAAATTAACTATACCGCGACGGGTAAAGCAGGATTCGTCAGTCCACAGTATGTTGTTCAAAAAATCCCTGTTTTCTTGAACTGAGCGAAGGACCCACCGACAAAAAGTCAGTCTTTTCTCTTCATCTCCTGGATGTAAGCCTTGAACAGGTTGTAGGTGAAATGGACGCCTGTGATCCCTTCTGAGAGTACGAAGTACATTGGATTTAGATGTGCGGATAATACGAGAAACTATACGGGAACTTGTTGTTGGATCTCTGTCAAACTCATTTAATATCAGT